AAAGAAAGAAAAAAACCCAGTAAAGCAACCTCAAGATCCAAATATAATGGAAATAATTGAAAAAAAAAAAGGGTTAACCTTAACAGTTGCACAGTTCAAATTCCTCAAGTAAAATTGCAAAAACTTCTCCTCAAATTTCAGATCTCTGCTCCTCAGTAAAACTTAAGATTACATCTACTACTAACTAAGCGGTTGTAATTAATGATTCCTTTATAACATTCTACATTTAAGTGACTTAAAGAAAATATTATTTTTTCTTGAATCCATCTCTCATCTGTAATTCAGGTATTTATTACATTACCTGTTATTATTATGATTCAATAATATATTACATAAATATGATATTAACTTATTGGGCAGCATGTTGAGTACTTGTATAATATAGTTACATCTTTTCAAAATGAGCCTTGATTCTGCCCCTGAGCGACACATTATGTGCATATTTTTAAAAAGTTCTAGACTATTTCATGTTCTCCTTCTGCTGCCCTTTATTTGAGAGTCTGTTTGATTCGTGGAAAATGTTGTCATTTTGGAAGATAATTCTTTTATAAAAAAATATTTTCTTTTCTAATGATTATTTTTTTGATATTTGGAACACTTTGGAAAACTTTTTTTTTTAATATTTTTTATTGTTTGGTGGGCTAAGGAAAATCTTCAAACTTTTCAAAATATATATTAATTAAAGATTAGAAATTAAACTTAAAACATTAAAAAAAAATCAAACACATTTATCATTTTCAAATATTCTACCTTCCAATTAAAATAGAAATTCAAATACCAAATTTTCAAGTCTAGATGATAACATTAAAAAATGTTGTATCTTAATTTTGTCACTCATCGCCATAAAAGCCCTTGGCAACCACACTCCATTCCTATGTTTGGGTTGAGGGGAGCGGAAAGAAGGAGAGGGAATTACATCTTTCTATTCTCCTCCCTTCCCTTCTTCCTTTCCCTCAATTGGATAATTGATGTGCTAAAATTACTCTAACAAGTGTACTAGTTACTCCAAGTAATATAATGATAAGTAGAGTGTTGAACTTACGAAAAATAATTAATCTAAATTTATTTGAACAATAAAAAAAGAATAACTTTAATCGAAAATAATAAAAAATAACAATTAAAATAAAACTAAGGAAGATATGAGATACTAAAGTATCAACTTCACCATAATCAATTAATATAAATTCTGGATTAATATACTTCTAAAACTAATTTATTGAGTGTTACTGCATTCAATGATGAATTTCGCTAAATTAACTAACTAGCTTTTTCAAGTCGAGTTAATCCTTCACTTCTTTGTTAAAATAGTCATATTCCTATGTAATTTAAAACAAACTGGTGAGCATTAGATTTTATGAAAACCATAACTCCTAACTCTCTTCTCTTTGTTTGACGTTAATTATCTCTTGGTCTTATAGTCTAACATATGGTTTATATCATTATTGGTCTAATTTAAGCAATTGTTTCTCAAGTTCATGCATAAATCATTAAATCAATTGAAAGGTGATCAGACTTTCAATGCATTAAGTTGAATAACATAAACTCATCATGTGAATAACTTTAATTGAAAGTATAAAAATCGCAAAATCTATATTAAATTGATTATAGTGCCCAAAAGAGGGTTGCCACCAGCCTCCAAAGCTCTCCCTTTAATTCTAAACTTGGATGAATATTTATAGAATTTTAGAAAACCTAATTGAAATAGAAGTGGAACCCGCACCAAAATAATAAGTTAGCCACGGATTTTGTGAAAATTGATCACCGTGTCAGGTTTTTGGCCTTCTAAGCAATTTCTGTTCATGTTAAAATGACAATTCTGGTCCCTAACTTCTGAACTCCACACAACTTAATCCTCAGCTTTTTGATCTCTGCAATTTGGTGCCAAAAATTATGATTCCTTCCCATTAAGTTCTTTCCTACACAAAGAATGAAAATTATGTAAAATCAAGTAAAATCTCATAAAACTCATCCAAATATCAATAATATCAAAGCAAAAATTCCACATTAATGTGTGTATAAATTTAGCTCATCAATAAGTAACTAAATTAAAAGAAAAAATAAAGGAAAATTTTCCTCTCCCCTCCCTTCCCTTTGAATTTTTTTATAACAGGGAATTTTTTTCTTCTTCCCTTCCCTCAACCCAAACGTACTGTAAGTGAACAAATGTTAAAACCAACATTGCTTTGTCAAGTCCCTCCACTTTCATTACCTACATCACTCTTTATCTGACTCTTTCCAACTCCTCTTAAATTCCACTTCCAGAAAGATGGAGCACCAATACTCTGACAAGGTTGGGAATATTTTGCTGCATTATACTGTAATAATGTTGACACCATTCCATGTCTGAAATTTCAGTTTTAACTTTCTCTTAACCTCCAGGAAATTCAACCGACTTTGAAAAACTTTGCAAAGGTATAGCAATCTTGCTGCTTTATCTTTTGATGATGTTGTAATTAGTATATACCATGGAATTTGTGTTTTAACAATTTCAATTATTAACTTGCAGAACCCGTTGGCAACTTTGGAGGAGGTATATATAGATGTTACGTTGCATTTATACTTTTGAAATTTCTAATTATAGAACTGCTAGTGTTCTAACATTTTCTTAACCTGCAGAACCTTGAAAGTGAAATGATTCAAACAGGGGGACTAGACAGTGTCACTGCTGTGGATTCAAGTAGCTTTGGAGGTATGGTGAATTCAAGTAGCTCTGGGAAAGTGGGGATTTTACAACTGTCGCTACAGCAACTTGAACCTTGGCATGGGCCAAGGCATTTTGGTGCACTTTGCCAGCCCACCTGGGGCTGCAACTTTGCTGCCTTAGTTTTTGTGGGCTAACTCTTTTGTTTTGAATGTGACAGCAATGGGAACCCCATTGACGCGAGCAAGGGAGTTAAAGAGAAAGAAAGAGGAAGAACTGAATGAGGCCCGTAGGGGAAAAAGGCCTGCAACTGTTTACACTACTCCAAGTCGTTCCCCAGTTGGTGGGTTTATGGCCGAGGCTCTTCAGAAATGCAATCAGTCAGCCCCTGCACTGGCTACTGAAAGATTTCTGTTCTCAACCAAAGAAGGTACACAAATACAAATAGGGGAGGCCGCTTATGATAAGGGGGCCTTCACCTCATTATTGGCACCTCCACCTCCACCTCCACCTCCACCTCCACCTCATCAGGAGCTTGGACTAGGGAGCAAGCAAGAAGTTAGTGTGTGCCATCTTGTGAAGGTATGTAGTCAGTAAACTGAATCCCCTCTCCTCTTGCATCTCTACTCTTTCCAACTTCTCTTTACATTGAATTATTTCTTCTCTTTAACTGATTATTTTCCAACTTCATTAGCAATATGGGAAGCTCAAAGATGCTAAAAGAAGACAGGAGGAAGCTGCAGCTGCTTCTATTGATGCTAACCGCATATTCATGGAAAGGAAGAAAGAAGCTGACAACTGTAACAGACAAGTGAAGGAGCTGGAGGAGGGGCTTGGCAAGCTCAAGGCTGAACTGGCGGAGAAGGGTAAGATTTCCAAGGATACACTTGAGTTAGAGACGATCGGTGCTGTGACCCTTGGTTCGAATTTGATGAAGAAGCTGCTGCAGTCTGGGCTTATTGGTTCGGAGTTTCTAGACTTGCCTCTACGGGAGGCTCTTCAGCTCTGTCCTTCTCTACAAAACCAGTTCAATGAAGGTCCGACTTTTATAGGTCAGGGACATCCCATCGATGACAAAGTTGCCATTCCAACTGATCTAGGAGTGGGTCTGCCATTCTCCAGTGCTCGGTACTACTTGCCGGAGGATGTTCGGGCGGCTAAACCGGTTGAACTGGATGGCTCATGGGTTCAGGCGTTTAAACCGGTTCGGGAGCCTAAACCGGTTGAACCGGATGGCTCATGGGTTCAGGCGTTTAAACCGGTTCGGGAGCCTAAACCGGTTGAACCGGATGGCTCATGGGTTCAGGCGTTTAAACCGGTTTGGGAGCCTAAACCGGTTGAACCGGCTGGCTCATGGGTTGGGGCGGCTAATGGCTCATGGGTTCAGGCGTTTAAACCGGTACGGGAGCCTAGACCGGTTGAACCGGCTGGCTCATGGGTACGGGCGGCTAAACCGGTTGAACCGGCTGGCTCATGGGTACGGGCGGCTAAACCGGTTGAACCGGTTGGCTCATGGGTACGGGCGGCTAAACCGGTTGAACCGGCTGGCTCATGGGTACGGGCGGCTAAACCGGTTGAACCGGCTGGCTCATGGGTACGGGCGGCTAAACCGGTTGAACCGACTGGCTGGGTTCAGGCGTTAAAACAGGCGCTTAAACCGGGTTGGGAGCCTAAACCGGTTGAACCGGCTGGCTCATGGGTTGGGGTGGCTAAATCGGATGAACCATCTGAACCGGATGAACCATCTGAACCGGATGAACCATCTGAACTGGTTGAACCATCGGACCATCGGTTCAACAATTAGTTAAACAATTGGTTCAAATAGAATCGGTTGATTTGGGTAAACCATTTGAATCATTTGAACCGGTTTAATAACTGGTTCAATTGCAACCAGTTGAACCTGTTGAATTTGAACTGATTAAATTGGTTAAACTAGTTAAATCAGTTAAATCGGTTGAATCTGTTGAATTGGTTGAATTGGTTGAATCAATTAAACCTGTTGAATTGATTGAATCGATTCACCTAATTGATCCAACCGATCATCTTAAAAAACAGGTTTTTTAACATATTAAATTTTACTATTGTATATTATTTTTAATTTATTTTTAAAAAATAATCATCATAAGATTAACTTGAAAATCATCATTTAGACAATTTAAAATAATAAATTTAATTAAATACATAATTTATCGTAAATATTAAAATATATAATATAAGATTAATTCATCAAGTATGATAATAAGAAAAAGGATAAAGATACGTACACCCATTGATTCAACACCAGTGGGTACACATTATAAAATAAAGGTTTTTCCTGTATAAACCAAATAAATGTAAGAATAAAATTACAAATTTAACTTTCCTCCTTTTTTTCTTCCATCATCCTCTAATCACCTTTTTTACCCATCATCTTTGATCTTCATCATCCTCCACCTTCATCACCGATCATTCTTCTTCATCATCAATCACCCATCTCTGATTCCTCATCACCTTCATCACAGATCATTATTCTTCTTTACCTCACCTCTTTCTTTCTTCTTCTTCTTTTTTTTTTTATTCTCTCGGTGGAGAACTCGAGCTGGGTTCTCACCAGAGAAATT